TGTCTAGGGAGAGTCTCACTTTAAGAAAGAGGAAAAAATATCTTCACCACCCACCTCTCCATATTTGTTTGAGATTGGCAATATATATATATATTTTTATTTATTTATTATTATTATTTATTTATTTTTTTTTTTTGGGGGGGGGGGCTAGCACCGTATTCAAATGCTTCGTGGATTATCTAACATTTTGTCGTTCTCCATGAGAAGACGCCGAATATTACATCAACGGTTGTACGCTAGTCTAGAGATTTGATGAGTCTAATTGCGGACGATTGCGATATACAGGATTTGTGAAGAGGTGATTCTTGACCGACCCAAACTGGGAGGAGACGGCCTTTACCAAAGAGTAAGACGAAAATAATCTGGTTGGCCAGATATATCAGTTTTCATTCTTGTTTCACGTGTAGCAGTTTTTAAATTATTTTTAATACTCTTTTCCGACTCGATTCACCAAGACGAACACGAAGAAGTGGAACAAGGATCGGATTTGCGTGCTTCCTCCTCGTGAAATGTTTATATTTGTTTATATAAATGTTTATGTTTATATGTTTAACTAGCGGCAGGGAAACCTGCTGGAAAACCGGCGGAAATTAAATGCTCTGTTGTCGTTGGAAGGAATCCTTATGTTCTTCAGGGACTACCACCCCAATTTTTACTGACTGCTTAAATATTCAAATGTAAAGTAATGAAAAACAGTTGATATGCATTCCCTGAACTACATGATATTTATTTATTTGATATTTCCAGGAAAAAGGTGTTTGAGGAAACTAAACGTGTGACAAATGTCTTTTAAATGCAGCGTATTTCGTGATGAAAAGGCGCTGGTATACAGGGTGGGTAAAAAAAATATTCGGTTATTTTTAACGCTAGTTTCTCGGGAGTTTGAAAATATTGTAATAGCGCCTCTATATAGGACATGTATCTAGCTTTCCATCGATATAAAAAGATTTAAGATACAATGCGTCATTCCGACGCAGTTACGCACCGTGTGACACGCTTGAAAAGTGCATCTACCCAATGAAATGTGCAACAGGTGACGTCCATTCCTTCGCTCATGGCGAGTAGGCGACCTCTTGCTTGCGCTAGCGGACGTCGCAGTATGGCAGGATTACCAACACCACCTCGTATGCCCTTTCATCTAACTGCAGGAAAGTCATGGCACAAATCTTCGTTCTGTTGGCATCGTTGGGAGGCTAAATGAATTTTCTACACGGAGGCACTATTGAAATTTTAAGCAAACTCTTGGGGACCTGTGCTGCGGAGTGATGAAGATGACATACATTTTTTTGACCCACCCCGTATATTACGCTTTGGCTTCTGTATGTCCGCAGTGGCATGTGCGCATGCGCGTTCTTCTGTCCGGTGTAGGGTGTCTGCCTCGCTCTCACGAGCGAGCACTTCCCATCAGGCAATTGCGGCTAGAGGATCCATTCTTGAGAACGCCGTAGCCTCGGGGGGGGGGGAATTCAGATGGCATGATGAACGAAAGAATTTGAAGCGGCCGAGAATCGATCCCAGGGCCTCCTACTTGGCGGCCAAGTACTTTTCCTCTACACCACCGAACCAAACACGAACGACATGATCTTGCCATGTTATCCAGCGATACGGGAAAGCACTGCGTTGAGCGATGCCAGCGTTCCCTTTCGAGAACCAGGGCAACTTTCGTCTCCAAGTTCATCCGAAAGATGGAGAGACGAGAGCGAATCTCCGATTTCCAATTAAAATTGCCTCCCTTCCCTTTCGTATGGCCGATCTGGGAATTTCATTTGAAAGTGGCACATCCTAAGAAGTTAAGGAAGGGTTCTGTCGAAACCGCAAGTTCAATTCTCTAAGTGTTTGGCTTGTAGAGCTGTCACACACGCAAAGCCAAACAAGCAAAAAAAAACAAAAAAAAACAATGATCGTTCGGCCTAGCTAGCAGCCAGAATTGAGCACGCTATATGTTTAACCTTCGATATGAAAAAAGCAGTGGCACAGCCTTTGACAATACGCAACACCAGCAGCAAAACAAATCTGTCAGCCCAGACTTCTTACTTCCGTGTTTGGAGATCGCAGGCAAGCGTCTCAGGGGTCGCGAGAGCCGAAGCGGGCATCACGAGGGGGAAGCAGCGTGTTCATCGATGGAGGTCACGCCTGCGCCCTCCCCCGGCTGGGAAAGCGACAGGCTCACGAGGCAGGAGTTCTTTGAGCGCAGCGCGATCGTCCCTTGCACGGAGACATCCCTGCCAGGGATGCCGGAGCGGTCATTTCGACCATAACTGCCTCCTGTGATTTTCTCAAGGATTTTTCTTCGTTTCTCTCGACCGTCAGTCTTCCATGCGCATCGCCTCTGATCCATCCACGTGCCCATTTTGTGAGTTTCGAACTCGATTCTGAAAGCTTTCGCATCATCCTTCAAGAATTTTGGTCTTTTTTTTCGAGCATCAGTAACGAGATCGCGCAACCCTGACACTCACGCCCGTTCCTCACAGCACATGTGATGTGCTCTCCACACAAAAAGCAATTTCCTTCGAGTCGCTCCTCGAGGCGCACCGCATTGCTTTCTGCGTTCCGTCGATTCATTCCAAAAATCGCGAAAGAGAATCCCCTAACAGTATGATGTGACTTTTTCTTGCCTTAATGATTTGTTTCCAGTCAATTTAAAATTATATTCCTTATTTATAACTTTTCAAATGGAGGAAACCAATGATTTGGAGGATACTAATTTTCCCTCAACGTCATGATATTTCAGCATTTTGTCCATTTTTATAATATAATTAACCCCGCGAACGTTATAACGAAAGCGTCATAATGTAATATTTAGTTATTTTAAATCAATAATATAATTTTTAAAAAATTAATTATCTGTCTTAAACAGGGAAAATGACCAAACAGCTGTTTTCCAACGTTAAGGACACATAATTTAAAAGCATCTAGCTCTCGCCACTTCAATTTCATGGAGATTGAGAAGGATTCTCGAATGTTTCCGACCGAAGGACCTCTCCCACCGAGCGACCGAGGTCCGGAGGTGCGACATATAACGTGAGCTGGCCCGAGCGAGAAGTCTGTGCTGCCGCGGGCGTGAACGCTCGGCAGGCTTCGACGGACGAGGGCGTGGAGTCATAACAGAAATATTTCCTCTCGTCCGTCCGAGTGCTTTTTTTTTCTAGGCGAAGTTAGGAAGTCGATCGCGCGAGAGGGAGGGGAGGCGGCTTTCGCGTGGAATCGGGGAGTCGCTCTCGTGTCGCCATCTTTCGGATGGACGAGGAGGCGGGAGTTGCCGTGGCAGTCGCAGGGAGGCGGTGGCGTCGCTCACTGCATGGATTTCCAGCGTCCATGATGAGATTCGTCGCATCCTTCCCCGCACGAACCAGAAGGGAAGATATTTGTATTTAACAAAAATATATATGTAAAATTAATTATTTTAAATTTAAAAGTGAAATAACATTTAAATTAAAAAAAAATAAATTTAAAAATAGGACTTTTGAGGTAACCCAGTTGAAGGAGTCTCCAGGAAACTAATGCAGTGAAGCATTTCTTGCGGCCGTCGCGGTGCATCCTTCTATCGCGGAAGAAGGGTGTCAAAAGAAAAAGAATTGCTTTTTTATTTTTTAAAATATAATATTAAAAATATATATCCATATAATATCATATTAAAAATATTTTCAAATATGATATTATAAGGAATATATTATGTTCGTGCCGCCGCGCCATCACGATCCCCTCGCACTAGCCACAGTTGCCTGATATCGAGTTGCATCGAACTCGAGGCAGCTTCTGCTTTCCCATTCGGTTCCTGACTCTTTTTTCATGCATGATTCTTTTTCATGATTCTTTTTCATGATTCTTTTTCATGATTCTTTTTCATGATTCTTTTTCATGATTCTTTTTCATGATTCTTTTTCATGATTCTTTTTCATGATTCTTTTTCATAATTCTTTTTCATATATTATTCTTTTTCAGGTATGATTCTTTTTCATGCATGATTCCTTTTCATGCATGATTCCTTTTCATGCATGATTCCTTTTCATGCATGATTCCTTTTCATGCATGATTCCTTTTTCATTTATGGATTCTCCGGTGCCGAATTTTCTGGAATGAGGTGAGACCGAAACAACGGTTAGCGGTGGCCGACCGGTGCGGTATGAAATTAAAATATTCCATCGCGGAATTATATTTTCGAGAAACTCCAGACGAGTCAAGCGCGATGCTTAATTAAATTGTTTGCGAGAGTCAGAATTACGCCAATAATTGGCCCAACGTCTCCCATCATTGGCCAGATGCCAGAAAGCCCGGAGATTGGCCGCAAATGGCACGATTGGCGCCGTGTGTGATATTATTTTGAGCAACAAAAAAAAAACTTTTAAGGCTTTACCTGACGATATTTTTCCGACTTAATCTTAACATTAGCCTGCAAATAAATGGAAGGAGGCTGAACCTTTTCCACTCGTTGGCTTCTTTAATTATCAGATTCTATTAATTAACTTCCGAGAGTAACGAGGGGCCGACATGGCGGAGAGACTGCATCTGCGCGTCGTGCACGAAAACGAGCTGGACGATCTCCGGGATCTCCTGCGGCTTCATCTGCCCGAATCCGCTGCGGTGAGTTCCGAGAATTTAATTTCCCTTAATTTCCTATAAATAAATAAATAAATAAATAAAAGTTTTGAGCGACGAGGCTCTAAAGTGTAAACACGTCCACGAATGTTAAGCGCTTTTAGAATTAAGCGGAAACGTTTCCGTTGAAATTTGCGCTGTTCAACAGATGTTTGCAGTTCCTTTTCGGGAGAGTCATTGTCTTTTAAATGCCGAACTGCGCATTCAAGGAATTCTAAATTGTCCTGCCCATTTTATATATTTCATTTTCCTGCCCATTTTATATATTTTATTTTCCTGTTCATATTCCATCTGTGTTCTACAGTTCTCGGATATGCGTAGTTTATAGAGTACATTTGTCTTCAATTTTCATTAAATGCAATTATCCTATTTTTCAAGGTGGTGGTACGCCCCCAGCTTTAAAAATGGCAACAGTCGGACGAAAAGTCCCAATTCATCGCCTTAAATCAGTGCAAAGGACATTGTCAAGGACCAAGGGCCTGACCTCATATGCCGCGTAAATTAACATTTCCGCAATTTAGGAAATTTTGGAGGCGATGAATCCTATCCAAAAAATTAACCGGCAAAATAATTATTAACATCTTAATGAATTCCCATTTCGTTAAATATATATATTTCCCAGGCATACAACATAGTCGTTTCGATGCAGAAGGGACTGCTGCCGTCCTCCAAAGCCCTCGTTCCCAGCCTTCCGCGGAAGCCCCAAGTCGTGTTCTTATCTTTCGTGAGTTCAATTCTCGATTTTGCAGAGAAATTTGCTCGAATTTTTTTTTCTAAATTGCAATATGGAATCTTTGAAAGATGGAGTGGCAGGTTCACCCAAGTTTAGTGCAGACGTACGTGTTCTTCTGCTTGGAATCGAATTTGGAGCTTTTGGAGGAATGCCTGAGGACATTGAATTGGAGCGAGCGAATCACGTTCGCGGCCGTGCCCCGCGAATTCTGGAAAACAATTTCGAGAGTCGCCGAGGAGAAGCGCGCGTCCTGCGAGCTCTCGGCGCAGGGCGAATACGGCGGCTTCGCGTGGGAGCGAGGCCTGGCCCTCAGATGGGACGGAAGGTGGGTGTTCCCCCGAAGACCCTCCAATTGCCCCCGCTGGCATTCGAGGGTCTTCGTATTACGTCGTCTCCCAGAACGAAAGGCATTCTTGTCCGTGCAGTTGCAATCGCCCCATGCATCGCGTACGAAGCGGGCTTCGTTCGCTCGGCTTTTGACGAAGCGAAAGAAGTGCTGCTGCATTGAAGCATGGGACAGTCTCTCCTAGATATTCTCCGAACCAATTATCGCTCTTTCGCTGGTACTTCGCATAGTATTATGCATACTATCCGAGTACCAGTATTATACGTACTATACGTATATGTATCTCCAAAGAGTGGAAACGTGTAAATTATTGAAGCCATATTTCATCTCATCTTGGTTAGGAATACCCGAATATGGATCAGTTCCAAACAAACTCATTTGTCGATGGACCTCAGAAGGTGGTACTCTTTATTAATGGTGGAAATGGCTCACATTCAATCATTAAAAATTTTTTATTATCCTATTCACTATTAGCGTATAGCTTTTTGATACCACAGCAAACTTGAAAAATTTCGTTGAAACATATTGCGGGTGATGCCTCGTACCAGTTCTGTCTAGCAATTTAAAAGTATTTTTTTAATAATTAGTGTGTGAAACGATTTTGAGGTAATAAATAATGTGGCAATGAGCAAAATGAGCTCATTGCCATCGTCAGAGTAATTGTTAAGCGTTTTCCCTTCAACTTATGGCCTTGCTGATTCGCAGCTTTGCTATACTTGAATAATGGAAAATTCCCACGTTACTTTAGTTTTCCCCAGTGCAAAATAATTTCACTTCATTATTTGCTCCTGCAGCCTTCCCGACGATGTCGAGATCAAGAAGTTGCGAGCAGAACATGCTGAAATGGTAAATGATACATGGAGATTCAAGGGGCCCAAGACTCTGGCCAGGGTCCATGAAAAAATCAATTTGGACCGTGGCTTCGGTATTTTCATAAAAAAAACTGGTATGTAAAACTCATCACTTTTAGTACATAATTCCATAAATTACACAATTTCATAATTACCACCATTAATTCATAAGTTTTACGTGAAAGTCTAAATGCATTCGGACTCTCCCAGCCCAATGCGACCGGAAAACTCAGAAATCCTTACTAGGAAGCCCAAGCTATTAGCCAAATTCGTATTCACTCCCCGAATGGAATATTCTGTATTATATTCTGTATTCTGTATTATATTCTATATATATTCTGTTATTCTGTATTCTGTATTATATTCTATATATATTCTGTTATTCTGTATTCTGTATTATATTCTATATATATTCTGTTATTCTGTATTTTGTATTATATTCGAAATCCGGCCCACATTGGGATGACTGTGTCCCCGTTCGCTCGGGAAACATCAATTTCGAATTTTCCCAGAATGGTCCGAGCAAACAATGACAAAAATGGCTGATTCGCGTTTATGAGCCGTGAATTGCATTCCTGTGGAGTTCTTCATAATATGCTCCTGGAAACATGAAACTTTTTTCATTATTGACATATTGTCGAATATTGTTGAAGACGCTGACTTGTCTGCGAAATTCCCATGAGTATAATTTCCTGGTATAATGGAATCCGTGATCTTATTCACGGTGAGAAGTTATTCTCCTGTTAATTAGTGATGGGTATCATAGTAGTTCCTGCTTTTTCTAAATTACCTTACCGCTTACTGGGAAAATAAAGGAAATGATGGCTGCTTCTTTCCCCTGGGAAAAAAAACATGTAAATAACATGAAAATAACATGAAAATAACATGAAAATAACAGGAAAATAACTCTGCACGCCCTTACCAACCCATAGGATTCAAATGTTGAGGGTGATGGCGACCCACGCAATTAGGAATGAATGAGTCCATCATGCGAACCCGTTTGAATAATTAATTCCCATAATGAATGAGTATTGCTCCCAGGAGCTGGCGCTCCGAGAATGAGCGAAAAGAAGTTAATTCATGAAAAAAGGAGGACAACTAGGACTCACTTCAGACTGTGTCTCCTAGCTCTGAACTATTGCTGGGGTTTTATTCGTATGGCCCATCGGATCGAGAGGAATGAGACTTCATGATGCAATGGATCGCCGTGAAATATTTATCCATGGGGAAATGCCTTTTAAAAGAATTGATGGAATAACTTACTTCCGAATAAGTTTTTATCTGTGGGAATCCCATGACGAGAATTGACACTTTTTTGAAGAAACATTTAAAGTTACTTTCTAAAAGATCGCTTGCTCGACGTCGGCTATTTTACATGCTGTGAAGATAATAGCATGAATATGGAGTAAGGTGACATGTTCTTTTTTCAGATGAGTTGGCCGGATGGTATTTGTTGATGTCATTCGGCGGGCAGGGGATGCTCTACGTGAGGGAGCAACATCGGAGGAGGGGACTGGCGGCGCTCCTCGTCGCCTGGGTCTCGAGGCGGGTTGTGTCGGCGTACGGTCTCGTTCCGTACGTGATCGTTGCGCGTGACACTCCGGCGCCTCTTGAGCTCTTTTCCAAGATGGGTTTTCGGGAATTTGCAACTTGTCAGTGGATTTTCTGCTCTCCTGGAAGTGAGAATGCGTGCTCTCAGGGCGTCTCCGCTAAGGGAGATTCGTCATAGTAGTAACGTATGGGGAAATTAAAGGCATCATAGATCTTTTTGAAATAGCTTGAAATTTGCATGAAATGAACAGAAGCTCGGAAGTTCCTCCAGCTCATCATATTTGGGTTCTTCTGATTTTTCGCCATGCTCTTTTGAATATATTTCCTCCGCTGCGAAGCCAAGAGCATGCATCATTCGCTTTAGGCGCAAACGGACATTTCCCTCTCTGCGTCGTCTCTGGTGCTACTAAGGGGTGCGTGCCGCCGCGTCGGGACTTGTTCGAAGCAGTACCTGCCAAAGAGTCCTCAAAGAAGTCGCGGGGTGTCGAAGTCCCGGCGGGTAGCTCAGGCTGCCTTCACAGACCGGAGGCCAAGTCGGTCTCGGAGGGCGTGACCCAATATCAGACTTTGGGATGTGCGCTGACCTGGTCCTGCGCCTCTGTGACGGTATAAGCGACGAGAATCACACGTTTATTTCTCGATAACCTTCCTTCACTTCCCCTTATCGGGGTTGCAATGCGACACTTGGCCATGCATACTTAAATTAGCTTTCCTTAATTTAGACCTAGCGTGCGAACCTGTCAAATGTGGAGGAAATTCACCTGAAGCAGTGGCGAACGGTTTACAGAACCACACTGAACACGTACCTGATGGGCGTTGATGTCTTCAAGGGGATGCTATGTGAGTACATTTTATTCTTCAGAGAACACTATAGCGCCAGTAAAGTGCAGGCCATGAGTGGAGAGGCGTACGTGCCATGAGAGAATCAAAGCAGAACCTCTACGATGTTGGACTGGAAGGAATTCTCCTGGGAGATTTCCCTGAAAAGCAATCCTTTACCGTACAGGATACAGGTCAGGGGTATCACTGGAATATTCCAAGGGGAACGTCGCACCCTTTCGCCGCCTATTTCAAGCAGGACGGCCAGCTCGCGCATGTCTGTTTTGTGTGCATTCGTCACCCGTCCTCGATTACGCCAATGTTACTGTGTGGGCCGTCCAAAAATAAATTCATAGCGGAGCTGAAGGAGAGCTTGCTCAAACTCAAAGTAATCTATCACTTCAGCGATGGAGCAGGAAGTCAATACAGACTTCCCTCTCTTTAGATGGGGTCTTTTTATATGGATTCGCACGTGAACCTTTTTTCCAATACCGAAAATTCAATAAACCTGAGCCGTGTATCCGGGAACCACATCCCGTACTTTCCAAATGTTTCGCAGTAAAAAAAAGCCGTGCAAGTGCGAATCCGTGTTTAAAAAAAGTAACCCGAATAAAGCGAGGGAAGCCTGTAATAAACACAGGGAAAATTTTCAGAATTAGATGTATCCACGAGTAAGACCGGAATTCCAGGATAATGGAACTCATTTACCACCTCGCATGGTGCGCGCGACAGTTTCGGAGGACCCGTCAAACGCCTCGGTGGCATGGCCAGTCTTCATCGAGCACCAGGTCATCCATGCAACCATCCAGCAGCCATCAAATTCTGTCCCCGAAAGACTAGTTCGGCTGGGCAGTGCACCGCTTGAACGAGATGAAACCGTTCTGGGTCTCCAGAGCTGGCGTTCTTGGCGCACGAGGGCATCTGCAAGGTCGGGACGCATCGGCATTCACTATCACCGGTACCTTCAAGAAATGTTTACCCCATGACGATAACCACATCGTCCGTTTCTTTGGCTCCACCAGCATCGCGTCCAAATGTCCTCGCAACTGCTCAGACATTGCCAGAGGAGCCCGCTATGGACATTGGGGTAGATGATTGGGCCATTCTTTCAGACGAGAGGGAAATCTACCCGGGGAGAAGTTTAAATAAGACCCAAAGCAGTACCAGCTTCCGCAATGCAAAAATGCACAAAAATACGAAAAAGGTGGTCGTACCAGTTAAAATTACGGGAATTCCGGCGCATAGGATACCGAGGGAGAGACAAAATCCGCCAGTCCAGAAGGAGCCTATTCTTCTTCCGGAGAGGCATGGTGTCGGACCTGTAAGATTCGCAGGGTCGTTCGAAAACAAAAAAAAAATCTTCACGCAAAGCAAGTAAGTGAAACCCATATCATAATATGAAGCTCTGAGAGACATTTAAATAGATGTGTCCTAAAACTATATAGAGCCACTTCACAAAAACGTGACGTTTTTATTAAAGGCATGAATTAAAATTTTTTTTTAAAGAAAACAAATAAATCTTCAATAAATCACGAGGTCACCATATCATCCGACTCATCGAAGAATTCCCTACCAAAGTTGACTAAGAAGGAGAAAATTCCAAATTTTCGGTGAAATGTTTTCTTTTGAGCAGGGAAAACTGGAGCAAATGCTTTCTCGATGTATGTGAAAGAGGACAGCAACTTACCGTAATGAGAGATTTTTCTTTGCTTCGCTCAAAAAGGGATATGGGGGGAGTCAAAATTGACTAGATTTCGAGGTTTCGAAATCGATAATGAAGCTGAAATACATTCAAACTCAAAAGATATGATAATATGATTATTTACTTATCAAATACCTATTTCTTGCAATGGTTCCTGAGCTGAAAATTTTGGGAATCCCTGAGTTTTTCTAATTTGTCCCTGAGTTCTGAGTGCCATATCTCAGTAACAGCAGATCCAACAGAGTTGATTGTGTTTTTACGGGATATTAAGATTAGCTATAATCGCCGCTAATAAGTATTGCGAATTCGAGGTGGTTCGGGGTGCAGGTTCGGCTACATATGTTTATGTGAAAAACTTTCATGGTTCAAGGTGGACATATTCAAAATACCATGGTCAAACGCTTCATGCATTCTCTTTCGTCTCATTTGCTACACATTTAAAATAATCACGCTTTTATTCCTCACCTAACAAATGACACAGACTATATTTTTCAAATTCCCCGGAAATTAGTTTTTCACCTCGTACCTCTTCATCACCACAGATCGATTTCTTCGTTCATGACCAAAGGGAGCCCTTCGTTAATTTTGACTTATTCATGCCTGAGAGAGTGGCCATATTCAAGGTTTCCCTCATCGATATTTACATTCGTCTTGAGATCATTCAGCAAAAATGGAAAAAGGAGGATCCCTGTGACTCTTCGAATGATTACAGCTACACGAGGGTGAGTTCATCGAAACCTATTGAGGTGATCCGTAAACGGAAATGCCATTTATACTAGTATAGCAGGAAGAAATTTGTTTATCCAGTGCATCGAGAACTGCTTCTGGGAAAAGGTTCAGTCTGATCCCGACCTACCATGTCTTAGCCCTGGCCTGCTACCTGAGGGAACCAATCACACAAAACCTGAATGTGAAAACCTCAACATGGAAATAAGCCAAGGGAAACAACTTGGTTTGGTAGGTAGAGATTTGATTCCCAAGTTGGCCACTGACTGCAACTGTGAGAGGAGGTGCAATTTGACCGACTATCACATATCCGGGAACCCAGCGCCAGCTGTACGAAGGAAAATGATCGTCTCTGCCTTAATCGTCGGGTGTGTCTTTTCTTCAGCTTCTACTCAACACGGGTTCGTTCGACATCCGGTCCCTAAATCTCCATCTTCTTTCAAAGTCCCTCGACCAATTCCCGTGTGTCCTGACAGGTATCTTACATCTTGGAGAAGGAGAAGGTGAGCATACTTGACCTCCTGTCCAACATCGGAGGAATTGTCGGCCTCTGTCTCGGTGTGTCTCTCATCACCATCTTCGACGTCATTGATCAAGCGTGCTCCATCATCCACTGGATGTGGCATCGAAGGAGAAATGAGAATACTTGCAAAGAAAGTCACTGATTGATTCATCCGACTTCTCCTTCTCTTTTATGCCGTCTTCTCTCCAGCGCGTTTTTTTTAACATTTCAATTGCTATAACAAAGTATTAGAATGCAATTTTTCGCAAAACAAGAAATGTAGCACCTCATTAATAACTGGAAATGATATTGTATTATGCATTTCTACAGCATATGAGTTGTTTTTGGAGAAACTAATACCTTTCGCTGAAATTGAAGCGACACCAGTAAATGAAAGTACTTTTAGAATATTCGCACACAATTTTTTAAACGCCTAATACCACGTTCGCAAATCAAAATTCTTTTCCAAATGTCCACATTCCACCTTTCGCCAGGAAATAAAATTCCGAGGGCATTCACATTCCAAGATCTGTATTGATTGTGTCTTAAGTATGTGCGCCTCTCTCTGCGTTTCACTGAATTGACTTACTTTTTAAGCAACTCTTCATGAATACATGGTCATGCACGCATGTATACATGATTATATCTTAATTTATTCTTCTTGACTCATTACATCTCTTATCAACACCCGTGCGGTAGAAGTAATTCTGCTGATGAATGGTTTCCCAGCAGCACCTGTCTTCTCTACTTTTTCGTATTCTTATTCGATTTAATTATTGGAAACAAACTAGCAGAATTTGAAGAACAATGAAAGAATACAGTATTCCCAGAACCCGACGTGCTTGGTTGAAGCTTGGAAATGCGCATTCCAGGAAATATTGGAATGCTTCTCTACCTCATTTATCGTAATTGTAACTACAGGTTTTTATTTATTTCAAGTGTCTTTTTTATGACAAATGGAATTTAAATTTGGTAAAGATACCTTTGAAACACCATAATAGTTTTTTCATGCATCTGGATGTACTGGATCAATTGTAAACGAATGCGCATGAACGAGGAGATTCTGTGTTAAGAATAAAATATATCGAAATGAGTATATTTGCGATGGTGAGCGTTTAATGCGAGTTGAAAAGCTGCACAATAAAGGACTACATTGTTCTTCATCTTCCCCTTGATGTCTCAGTGTGCATCATTGTTTGGTATGAGTTGCAAAAAGATCCCCTTGTTCGCTTCCGACTCGTCTCAGTGCTGAATCACCCAACTGTTTTCGTCGTCAAGGGGCCTGTCAAGTATCGCACGAAATTTCAAGCAGAACTTTTTTGTTCCATTCTGCTGATGTGCTCCCGATATATCTTCGGCGCATCCCAAAAACAAAATATTTTTATGCTAAAAATATTGCATTGTAAATTGATGTCGTTATGGTGATGCCCTGTCTATTTGCAATGAACTGATTACGGTTTTTCTTGCCTAACTCAAAAGACAAACTACAAACTGAGTTCAATAACATCCTCCTTACATTTGACTAAGCAACAACCCGTGACGTCAATATTTACGGATTTGATTTGCCTTTTTCTATAGCAACTTGCTTCTAGCAATGGCCATTGGCCATTGAAATTCACGCGGATTCGCTAAGCTAGATTACATGCCAAGACCAACTGACTCAAAGTTTTAATTTCTTTCTAAGGGAGGAAAACGGAAAGCGCGCGGAAAGCCATTCTAGTTTTTCCTTTATAATGTTAAAAACTTGCTTTAAGTACTAGCAGATAATATGATTTACCATACTATTTCGAAGTTGGAGTGTCCTTCATGAAACACCTTGTACATCAGATTATTTGTGTGAATTCTGCCAATGCTGCATTCATCTTTCTTTGAAGACTAAAGGTGACAGTTGTATTAGCATTGCATTGTTAGTCCGCCCTGGTCTCTTTAAAGTGATTTCACCATCCATATACGGTCACGGTCATTTCGACGGTGACATTTTATTCACGATGAAAGTGCCTGATCTGCGACTCTGAATTTGTGCGATCTTTTCTGAAGCAATTGCTCCTCTTTCTGAGGTCCCAGAGTATTCAAAGTTTACATGAAAGGGTTCATAAAATGCATGTATTCTGTACGAAAAGCAATCGCTTGCAAAAGTGCACCCATTAAGTAAATTCCTGCAATATCACGGAGGATCTTGAGCAATCGCTCCCGAATTAGCAATAACACCCTTGTTACTGTACATATACGGACTTTTGGGGAATTTTGACAAAATACCTGTACATATCGGTCATCAATTTAATTTTACTCACTCTTGCACAGAGGGCAAGTTTGTGGCTCAAGTTGTATCCAAAATTCCCATTGCAACGTTTTCATGATAGCCGGTGATCGGTTATTTTCTTTAAGCACCATCGATGATCCCGTATCAATTGAAACGTATAATGTCTCTGATGAACTGACTGATTAAAAATATGCCCATTATATTGCGTGTCTATGTTATTTCAAGGCTTTAACGTGTGAATGGTTGTCAATTTGAAGATTATTTGAGACTTGAGACTATCAAGATTATTTGAGACTATCAAAAAAGATAATCAAGCGGCTTCACCATCGTATATTAGTGGAAAACAATTGTGCTCATATATGAAATGCGAACTTAATCCAACGAAGATACAGTAACTGAAATTTAGAATAAACTCCTTGAAATGGTCATACACAAGATTCAAATAGATCTACTGGTATTTCCGGCTATTTATAATAACCTGAAGGACTATTTGGGAGGGGAGTGAAAAAAGGACATATACTGTCGTTCACAGTGATTTCACGAGGACTGAGAGGGACACCACCTTATCGTGGCGAAGAATCCTTCAATCGCGGGAATGCAATTCTTAAATGAAAGTAGAACCATGCATCGCTAAGCCATCAGATCACCTGAAAATACTTTCATAATTCCAAGGATGGGATCTGCTGACATGAGCAAAAGTGTGTTGCACATGAAATTCCTTTCATTAAGGGACTGATTTGAGGAACATGGCAAATTCAAAGACCAAGAAAGCCTTTCATTTCAATCATCAGATGGCGACCATTCGATTGAACTGGTGGGTGAAATCCCTTATCCCCTTTATAGATGGCGATTGACTCCATGCGAAATGTTTGATTGCTTAGAAATATCAAATTATTACAAAGATAATTGTTACAAATATAATTTTTTCATTTCCAATTATGCAAAATGCCTGTGAATGCTTACAAATTCTATAAAACTTGCTGAATTTCCTGCAATTCAGTTGATTTTCAGTTTCTTTCCAACGTTCAGTTCATAGACGACGATTGCAGGAAGATAACTATGACGACCGCCGCCAGCGGACAACTGCAGTCGATGACCAGACGACGCGAACGTGAATCGACGACTTCTCGAAAAGGGACCCAACGAGCCTGTAGCCGGTTAGAGGATGGCCTCCGGATCGCATGAAACCTTGAGAAGAGTCAACCATCGCAATATTCTCCATCACGGAGACATCACAAGAATTGAAACCGTTTGGAGGGACATATTTCGGGGATTTCCGTCAGGTTCTGCCTGTAATTCAAAATGAAGGACGGGTGGTTACTGCTTCTTCGTCGATTAAACGAACTTCGATACCTCACGCGGCTACATCTGCATCGAAATATGAGTGCAGATGATTCGGAAAAGGAGTTCTCCCGATGGCTTCGTAGGTTGGGTCGTGGTGATTTGGAAACATTCCAAAAGTTTGTATCCAAAGATGACACTCACATTGTACGTTTCTTTGGCTTCCCCAGAACCACGTTCAAAACTTTCCCCACCATTCGGATTTTTCAAAAGAAGCTTTGACGTTAGGGTGGAGGAACTCGACACTGTTTCATATGAGAGGGAAATCTAACATGGAAAATTTCTGACGATAACACCTAAACCACTACTAGTTTACGCAATGCAAAAAGCGCAGAAAAAGACAAAAAGAAGTGGTTGAACCCTCCAAAATTATAATTTAAGGACACGTTTCTATAGTTCTTTACTTAGTTAGAAGGACAAGGTCAGCCCCCTATCGCGGTTAAGTAAAAGGACCTTTCGAACCACATGACATCTGAAGATTTCCAGCAAACCGCTCGTTTGCAAGCATCGCAAAGAAACAACACAAGAAAAATTCAGTCAAACCCAAATGATGATATGAAGTTCTGAGAGGCCTTTCTATTGATGCATCATGCGAATATATTCAGAAGAAGGTCTTGCAAAATTTATCTTTGAAAAAGCCACAAGAAGTTATGTAGTTGGGAAGATCTCGATGTCCTTCTATTCTCAATACTTACGATGCCGTAAGTGCTGCGACACATAATTAATCGACCTAAGATGACAAACATTTTTGGTTTATTTTTTATTTCTACTGTTATAATATTTCCATATAATGAGAAAAGTTAAACGAGTGTATTGGTAAATGGAGGTATATGAAAGAAACATAGAACATGACACGCCGTGGGATTTTGTCTTTTTTTTTTACACCAGGATGTTGTAGTCAAAAGTGCACAATTTTAAAGCTTTCAAATTCAATGGTGGCGCTGAAATCACTTTCATAATCGAAGGATGCATGAATAAATATGTTCATCTATCGAGTACCACAAATTCAAAACTATTTCACGCCTCCGTAGGATAAGCGGTTCCTGATGGGGAAATTGCGCCTGGAATTTGGACCTTGGACCTGGAATGCCTGGACACGCTCCATGAAGAGGGAACAGTTGAAGATGAATGCAAACGCCGTGTTCCATGAAGTAGGAGAAGCTGAAGATGAATGTCAACTTCTTCTACAAGGAGGCATACCCTCGCATACAATTCCCATTGACTTTCCCTTCGTGTCGTCAATAGCGGAAGAGGAATTCGGGGTAGGGACGAGAGAAGATAGCCTACCGACTCCCACTGAAGAATTAGTAGAAGGAAGAGCATCACGATCGTCTTGTGGGTGAGAAACCTTCAGTTATTATGGCACGAAGTTTCATTGAAACCACACCCTGCCTTTTTTTAACCTTCAGTTAAACGGGAACTTCATTTCAAGTAGGCATACAGTCGATATTAGCTAGTGTCAATTCCTTCTAGTGTCAAGTTAATTCCTTCTAAGATTCAAATGTGATAGGATATTGAAAAAGGTGTAATAAGAGGTGTTGAGTTGCTGATTTCAGAAAAATTCGTGCTTTTATTATGCATTTTCTAGAAGGAATTTTTGGGAATAACATTTTTAAGAAGTATTTTTTTCTCCCATTCAAGTAGATCTACAGAGTAGAATAGCGAGACATCGTAAGGGTGGATCGGTTGGATCTATCTTGTTAGAAAATCCTTCAGGGGAAATTATAATTTAGGATAGATTCTAATAAACATTTAAATTAATCTTTCTAAACACCCGTATGGTCATAGGTTCAAGCTAGTAAGGTCATTAGATTGTCTTACTGCACCTAAACTGGCAAACATTGATATGCGAAATTTGTCAATTGAAATATGCATAATTTTGTGTTCTGAGTTAAGAAAATATATAGATTCCCTCGAAACCCTTATAGTGGTTGTGAGTTGGTAGCAAACCCACGTTTCGCTTGAGAATAATTATTAATAAAAAAAACTTTAATATTGACGAGTGCAAAAAGTCTGACCATTCCAGGTTCATTTACCTCAAGGGGAAAAAAAAGCCGCCTTAGTAGCATAAAATATATATAATTTGAAGTACTCACTCTCTGATAACTTATTTCAGGAAAAATCCCACTTTTGGAGTAATCCCTGGGGGGGGGGGGGCACATCTTTCAGGAGGAAAAAAACTCGTATTTTCAAAAACGATAATGCCATCAAAATGCTTAGACACACGTTTACGTCTGGCCGTAATCATTTAATCCAATATACAAAAATAGTAATACATTTCCGGGGTGCGGCATTTTTTCGTGATGGAGCTTTTGGACAGAGAAACCCTTTTCGAGGTCGAGGGGAGGGCGCTTGTAAACTTTTATCAGCATATATTTTACTCGTATGAAACTGCTGTAGCGGTTGAGGCACAAAAAGGTAATCTAAAATAATTTTCTTAAAGGGTAACTAGGGTCAAATTTCAAAATCTCCCTTCATGTAATGTTGTTAACCGCAATTCGGTAGTGTTGTTATATCAGTCAAAGTAACGGGGCAAAACCAACTTTTAAATAGAAATCAGAAGTTTTACTTGAGAAGGAACTGTTGCAAAAGGGAGATTTCCTCCCTGGAGATGTCCAGCAATCCAGTCCAGGCAGGGAAGACGGAGAAGGTGACCGATGATCACCCGACTCAGGAATCCCAAGGTGAAAAATCAAAATCAATTTTATTATCTCATTATGTTTTCAATAGAGAAAATATGACACTCAAAAATGTATTCTTAAAAGCCTTAGTCGGAGCGAGAAAGTTGAGGGAGGCCATGAAGGCCATCGTGATCGTCGCATGTGCAGCTCTTGCAATCCAACAGGTTAGTGTCGGTTCAGGTCAACTCATCATCGCTCTTTCGTGCTGTCTTTTTGGATGATGAATGAACGGGGAATTGCAGGTCATACTTTTGGTCGACGAGTACCAGTCTTTCCCGACCAACACCTTGCACATGATTGATAATGTGAACACGGTCCCGCCTCCAGCATTTACGATCTGTCCGAAACCATCTCTGAAGAAAGCTTCTGGTAATGCATGAGCAGTTATACGATCGAATTATTTTTAAAAATTCATCGCCGCTACGGTGGCCTTGTCCGACTTGGTTGAATTGATACCTACGAACTCGACACCAATGAACCCGTCGAACGGATCTTTTAACGGCCGGGAAGTCATCATTCCACTAGAAAAAGGTGAGGATTTGACAGACTTTCATTCAAATGTGGAAATTATGAAAATATAAATAGGAATAGTGTTCTTCGCTTAGACAAAGGGTATTGGAGCGAGCGAATATTTTATGACCTGGAGGACGTCACTGGGTATTTCAAGTGCTTCACGCTATATCTGAAGGAAGAACTACCTGTGGCCAAGAAGAACTGCGTAACTCAAGTCTTCAAATTGAATTTCTTATCCATCATGTCATCAGCATTCACACAGGTGCGGCTATGTGGAACGAATCCACTCTTTTTACCGGATGGGACATGAAAGCCTAACGATTTCATGGCATGCATAAAACAGTAGGCATAGCTACGACAAACCTTTCCAATGGCTACTATCGTTCGAATACCTAAGTATATTCAATGTTTCAGTTTCAAAGGGTTTACCATAGGTATGCTTCTTTTGTATTTAGACGTCTAAATGATGGAATACATCTCTGCGGTTCATTTTTTCTTTCTTTCCTCTCATTGTACTAAACTGAACCCTAAGGTGCCCCACACTCATTTGTTGATGGATCACCTTACAAGTCATGATGGTAATTATATGTTGCCTGTTCTTCAGGTATTTACAAACTTTCTATGTACATTTCTCTTTACTCCATAGTTTTACATTCCTCAGTAATATTCCGCAGTGAACATCTTCGATACTTCCTTTTTCCATCATTCCATATGATCACAATATCATTTATCAGTGACATTGAAGGAAATCTGCAAAGAAAAAAAAATCAGGAAAGTAACAAGAAACACCAAACAAAAAACCAACTGGCAAATTATGAAACTTCCCTACAGACACAATTCAATCCATGAAACTTATTTAATATTCAACTGGCACCAAGAACATGAATCTTAGGAAATATGCAAACTGCAATGAGCAAGATTAACAAAGCCTAGTCCCAAAAAAGGGCATTTCAAAACTTCATTAAACCCATGGCCTCTATGATCTGGACCCTCCTATCCACAATTCAAAGCCCACAACAATTCAAATTAAAGAAACAGAGCCCGCCTTTGCTTCTGTTCGAGGTGCTTGGGACAGAACACCCTTGCATCTCAATGGATCGTAGGAGGTAACGGGACACTCAACATGGACTAAAGATGGCTCCATCACAGCCTATTAATGTGCCTATGGGTCGTCCTTACCTGAGACAAGAGCGTCTTTGTTTTACCTTGGAATCTCCGATTTTCCGTGAAATTTGCTTCACCTAACGCTCCCTTACGCGAACCTGCCATTTTCATATCGCAAACGCACATCCTCGGATGATGAGTAAAAGTTATGTGAAAACCCCGAGTTCATTTCTTGAAGCGTTTGACCAGTATAGCTGTCACACACAGGCACATATAGCAAACAATTTTTTCTCTGCCTAGCTAACGGTCAGGATGGCTCACGCTCTATGTTTAACCTTCGGACGTCGGTTGCGAAGCAACCGAGTTCTTCCAGTTTTTATAAAGAGTATTTCACCTTGCATCTCATCATCACTAACCCTACAGATCGAATTCTACATTCACGACCAGAGGGAGCCATTCATAAATTTGGACTTATTCATGCCAGAGAGAGTGATCCTTTTCAGAAAATCCATCATCAGTATTTACATTCGTCTTGAGATCGTTCAGCAACAATGGAAAAAGGAGTATCCCTGTGACTCTTCAAATGATTACACGAGGATGAGTTCATCGAAACCTATTGAGATGATCCGTAAACGGAAATGCCATTAGTACTAGTGTAGCAGGAAGCAATTTGTTTATCCAGTGCATCGAGAACTGCTTCTGGGAAATGGTTCAGTCTGATCCCGACCTACCATGTCTCAGCCCTGGCCTCCTACCTGACGGAGCCAATCTCACGAAACCCAAATGTGGAAGTCCCAGGAATGAATCCATGCAGGGGGACCGACTGGTCCCCTTGGGTAAGAAACCCCTTCGGTAAGATTCCCACGTTGTCCAGTAGCTGCAACTGTAAGAGGAGGTGCACTTCGACCGACTATCACATATCCCGGAACCCAGCGCCTGCCTGCGAGGGGGGACCTAACCGTCTTTGCCGTGCCGATGATGTATGCCTTTTCTTCAGTTTCCCCTTAACCCGGGTTCGTTCTTCATCCGGTCCCAAAATCTCCATCTTCTTTCAAAGACCCTCGACCAATATCTGTGTCCTGACAGGTATCTTACATCCTGGAGAAGGAGAAGGTGAACATACTTGATCTCCTGTCCAACATCGCAGGAATCGTTGGCATCTGTCTCGGGGCGTGTCTCTCATCACCATCTACGATATCCTCGATCTAATATTATCCAGCATCCGTTGCAAAATGAGCCGAAAGAGGAATGAGACCGTTTCCAAGGAAATTCGCTGATGGAATCGTCCTACATTTATACATATGCGTTTCTTTGGGCCGGGATCTCTCCTGCACGTTCTTCTGTATATTTCAAATGCCCGAACAAATGGTGGAAGGTATTTTTTTTCCAAGGCTAGAAAAGTAGCCCCTAATTTGTGAGTGGAAATGATATCGTATTATGACTTCCTACAAAATCCGATTTGATATTGAAGAAACTAATTCCTTCTCCTGAAACTGTAGTGGCACGAGTACTTCGGAGCACTCTAGGAATTTGCACAATTTTTCCGACACCAAATCTGTTCCCACATTTCAAGGTCTTTTAAGATCGATTTGCCATAATGTGCAGTCAATTAATCTAACGAAAACTGGTGAGTCACCTTCAAATGCATTTGTCTTCTCATAATCGAAGTTACATTTATGTGGATAGCACCTGAAAGTGCCTTAGGCTTACAACGTTTTCTTGGCCCCACCTGAATGACTGCTTGCTTATTTAAATTTATTTCATTCATTGTATATTTTGACACCCATACTCAAGGCGTCGTAATAGCATGTCTTCTCTCGACTTTTTCGCATTCTTATTCGATAATACAGGATGTACCAAAATGAATGGAACGATTAAAATGTTCCTCATTTAATTAACTGGAGCAGGTACAAGGATGAAATATCATTGGGCATTCAAAGATACACTTAAGGAGGGGTTGGGAATCTTTTTGGAAGAGTGAGCCATATTAAGATTGAGCTAACTGCTTGTGAGCAAAAGATTTTCAGAATAACATAATTTTTCTCGAAGTTGACAGTTGTGTATTCTTTAATACATGAGGAACAACCATTATTTTCAACCATGACTCAATGAGCTAAACTTTTCGGCTCGTGAACCATAGGTTCCCGACCCCTGACTTAAAGTGTCCTGGTGACATATCGAAGTTCATTCCCTGGCCGTTGTAGCGCTGTCATCACCCCTACTGTAAAATGGCGACTCAGCAGCAAAAATCACAGTGTTGCATGGGATTTCATGAATCGAAATATGTATTCCCCATGATTTGACCTTTCCCGGCACTTTTATATGTTCATGTACTACGCGCATGTTACTGGCCATGAATATAATCGACATGGAACGTCATGTGCATGCCTACAATGCGTCATTTCTGGCTTTCGATATCTCCAAGTTGAACATCCCGAAGTTCACTCCACGATGAAGCGTTTCCAGGATGCCCTCCTCTGAAAGGATTCCAGACCACACACACGCTGGGAAGGCATCGAAACCGAGAAGCGTGCATGCGATTGCTGGAAAAATTCCGTTTCTGAGGTTCAACGATTTTTCCATACACAATACAACTCAAAGAAGATCAAAGAAGATAAAAAGATGAGAAAAGAAGATCAAACGATGTTAGCCTGTGCTAAGAATGTCTGCAATTTTGTTTCTCAGCTCCTGCAAAAGCTGCACTCTTCATCCTCGCAGCCGTACACGTATTGTTATAGTCGACCAATGGTCTCATAGAATCACTTCTTCAACTCGTCCTAATGTGCAGTCGCACGAACTCTATTATAGGTTTCATTCATGTCCATATCCAATTTCAGTTTCCTTGTGAAGCAAATTATGTTCGCGATGTGACATGGAATTATGTCTCCTCTTCGCGCAAATGGTGAGCTGAACAATCGACACGTTGACATATCTGCAGCCTGCAGATTTCATGCAACTGTCTCCCTATTACTTCTATGTATTCAATAGTTTTCAATGTCTAGATTTTAATAAGAAGCAGAGACGTAATGAATGGTCATTTAAGAGATAGTAGAAAATCGATGTCGAGTATCTATATTGCGTGAAATGGCTGTAGGATTTAAACAGCCACAGAGATGAATTAATTATTTAGTGGACTCCATGTTAATAATCCAGGGACATACGGTCGTGCCTCAGTAACCCGCCTCAAGATTTGAGAAAAAAAAAGAAACCATATAAAGGGGGGATTGGGGTTTCGCGGAGAGGCGAAAGAAGCCGCAGGCGGCACTCTGGAGACAGTGGGGGAAAAGGCAGCAAATTCGCGAGCTCCGTGCTTTCCTCCTATGGCCCGCCAAAAATGAACACCCCCCATTTTCTGGACCGTGACCAACCACTATAGCCATGACATATGCGCTGTCTGATGAGCTGCAGTAATTTACTGAAGGCCACTAAACGAAAGGGAGGAACAGAATACTATGTTCACTCTGCTAAATAAATTGAATTATGAACCACAGTTGTGCTCTCCAAGACGTGGAGTTGGACCCATACTCCATTTTCGCGTTAAAACTTCTCTTCCCAAACTTCACCCATGTTTCATTGACGTCACTAAATTCAGCTCTAATGTGAGACTCATTTGTTCTAATTGCCATCATTAGGGCGAAATATCAATACAGCTGTACAAATGCAAACCACTTTTCTGTTCGGGTCTATTTGACCAGAAACACTAATTCAACTCATTCAAGGTGTTGACTTGTTCAGCAAAAGACAGATGCAATGCCATCACAACTCCTACTACGTGGGCGAGCCCTACATTACCTTGTAACATTTATTTTGGGTATATTATATGTTGGACATGTGAAGAACGGGGTCTTCCGCCCTTTTACAAAAGAAGAGAAGGAGGAAATATACTGTTTACTCCTCCTGAGGTGTTGAAAAGAGAGTTGCAGGAATCTCATCCTTTTCTACTCTAATATTTTCCCTACTTGGAAAGATCACGAGGGTTTCCATTTCTCCAGAATTTCTGTCTGGCGAACCTGCCTTAACTCTCGAATCTGGAAGGGGACAGGTGACCAATTAATATTGATCGCTTGTTACGTCACAGACACCTCGGCCTACAAAGCATATGCGCTGTGGACTGCAATAAATCCGGGATAGCACTAGAACAAGCTCTTCAAAAGAAGATTGTTCCTGGTAGAATTGGGCATACATTTCATGCTTTTGCCCATTTCTAGAGACAAGAGAATATCATACACGCACACCGTCCTCTGCTACCGTCGTCATTTCTGCGCGACTGCCTAGACCATGCAATGACTCGAGCTCCTAGGTAGGACATTGCAACATACAGCAAAAAAGAGCCGGATGTACTTTTTGTCCTTCCGCATAAGACAACAAAATAAGCATCAACTGTATATCACGTGGAAAAGATATTTGCAATTTGAGCAAAAGTACGTTTTATGCGCCTTGCAAAGTCAATAATATATAAAGGTTTGTCGCAATTGACAATTTTGGAAATCCGTTTCTGTTGCAACATTTTGGAATTAGCTCAGTGTTAACAATAATTAGGTATGCAAACATAGCTAATAAAATAATGAACACATGTGTGATAGATACCTTTACTATAAGAAATCACGAAGCAGAAAAAAACTAAAGGGAATTCCTATTGAAACCATAGGAAACGTATATCGGGTCAGGGTGACCCGAACGTAATTGGTGTACCTAAAATGGTAACAGAATAGGAAGGTTAACGAAATGCGGCACGACGTAAATGAAAATTTTTCGACATTCATGAAACAGCAGATAGCTCACCGAAAATCGTTTTCCAAGTAGTGCAACACTGTGAGCATCAAAAGGGATTTTAATGTTTTTCTTCCGTCGCTTCGAGACAAACGTGACTTTTGACATGCACTTTTCTTCAGAAAAGAGCTTTTAAAAATGCGACTGGTTTAAAGTAGGGCTGTCACGATGGCAGTTTTCAAAAGATCGATGCATCGACCTAATCTATCGATTAGATTCATCTCATCAAGGTTTGTCTTCCACAGTGTCTCGCCTCGATCGGAGCACAGACCTCTATCCCTGATCTCACGCTTGTGTGGGAGTCCTGATCTCACGCTTGTGTGGTCCAACAATGACACCCATTCATCCATGTTCCATCGATTGTCCTATCAGGACAGCCTTTATTTTTTTAACTTGCTCTGGAGGATCAGTTGCCAAGCACGTTCACGAATCTTTTTTCTTCTTTTTCTTCGTTCGACACGGTCTTCTTTGGAAATCGGCACCGACAAATGGAAAACCTGCCGATTCTGTCAAACCGGCGGTTGACGAAACATCGGTACAGCCTTAGAATAAGCAACGTCCGTGGAAAAAAATTCATTTGGGTTCACCTTAAATAAAATGCCCCACGACAAGTTGAAAATAATAAGACAAATCTCATGTCTGCATACTTGAGAGACAGGAATACAGAGAGGGTGATTAACCAATGCAGGTTTCGAAATCAAGGGAATATATGAACTTTCGCAGTTTCCCCACTTTCGCGGCACGCACCTGATGAGATCAAGCCGAAGATTTAAAAACCAAAGATATTGAATAATTAATATTCTCGGTCTTCCCTCCCTCTCCTTTCCCTCTTCCTGTCTCCTATCCAACATTGTTTTTCCCCCTTCCCTTCGTCAGTCCCAGCATTTCCAGAATTCGATCGTAACAGAAATTGCTCGCCCAAGCGAGTCATGCTGCCTCCTCCTTCCCCCGGCACGAACAGAATCGTACTGTACTGTACTCTAGTCAACCCAATCGGGCATTTTCCCTTTGAAATCATATGCCGATGCGTCGCGATGGTCGAAAAAACAACCGATACCTCCAACCATCGATAGTGGTATAGATGCATCGACCTATCGCGACAGCCCTACATTAAACCAATCGTGGATCAGTGCTCCTTCTTAGCTCCAGGAAAACATTGTTATATGCTGGGTTCAGGGCGACTATTGGAACTTTTAATGATTTATTTTCATCCTCTATAGCGTGAAGGAAAAGCATTATCTTCGCGGTGATATTCCCGCATGATGGGGACTGAAAGGAAAACGACTCAATGACCTAGTCAGTTTATTCTCGTATGCGACGTTTCTTCAATGCAATTTTTTCTCCCAAGGTCGACCTATTAATTATGTCAATCGTGCGGTTCTACCCTTCATTTGTAAGATGAATACCATTTGTTTTCACATAACTAAGGAATCTCAAAACCTTTCCCGAATGGCTGAATGAAAGGTAGCCACAAGCCACGGCGAGCAGAGGAACGATTGATTTTCAA